GCCGCCGCCGCCGCCGCCGCCGCAGGTGGGGGCAGCGCCCTGCCCGGCACCCCTCGCCCGCCCCCTCCGCTCGTCCCCGTCCCCAGCGCCGTCGGGGCTCCGCTGTCCGCGGCCGTCGGGAGCGCACAGCGCCGGGGGACCGGAGCGCACCGAGCGGGGCGGGGGCAGCTCCAGGGTCCCGGTGCAGGTGTCTGGGCACGGGCACTGTCCGCACCATCCCGAGGGGCCCGGCGCCGTCGGTGTCTGCTCAGCTGGCGGCCGCGGGGAGAGCCGAGGTGCGATGAGCGGCCTGTCGGAGGAGATGCCGGTCCGTGGCGTGGGGCTGTAGGCTTAGGGCAGTGACGCCCAGAGAACCCCACACTCCCTTGCGGAAATCAAGCGGTCGAAACAAATTAAACCACACAGTGACAGATCTACGTGGGGAGAGATAGTAAGTGTGGGCTTTGGCAGTGTAGTTTGCATGCACAGCTGCTATAAGGAATGCACTGAAACTGGTCCCCAGCAACGATTTGGTACAGGGCTGGGCTCCCGTGCAACTGACTTACCCCTGATCTGACCTGCTTGTCCCCGATCCCTGTGCCACAGGACCTCACAGGTATATGATCCAACCAGGAAGGATGCCAGGCTCTCCATGGGCTGCTGCTGGGACATACTTACCTGCCAGCTCCCTCCTGTTTGCTGAGATACTTGGGGCTGAATGTCAGACCGCAGCTGAGTGCACCAGCTTGTGAGGAACTCTTGCCCAGGACTTGAACTCCTGTGGTACAGACCTACAGGCCTGGGGACAGCACAGCCTCCTCACCTGCTGGCATGGTGATCCCTGCAAGCCAGAATATAAAGGAGATGGCAGGAGGTCCTGGAGGTGGGATGGAATGTGTGTGCAGGTGTGCACAGGGATGTGTGTGCTTGGAAGGCTGAGCATGCACAAGCATATAGTGTACAATGGCACTGGGATGTGAGGTTTAGGATGAATGAGAGTTCATGGCTGTATACTGACAGGTGAGTGTGCCTAGAAACAAATGCCAGCACACACAGGTGGTGTGGCTGGACCCGAGCCTTGCATGTGGACACGTAGGCAGAAACAGATATGGGCAGATGTGTGTGCAGCGAGGTGGATGTGCATAGGTGTGCAGGTGCTGTGCATGTCTGTACATCTGATCCCGCCCGTGTCTTGGTATGTCCTGCCAGTTCTTTCAGAACTCAGGTCACCAGTGCACTGCTGAGTCTGTATCTCTATGGGAAAAGCTTTCCCAAAGCCCTCTTGGTCATTGCACAAATGATGTTTAAGGGAGCAAGGGGAGGTGGGAGATGTTCATCCTAGTGAAACACAGCTCTGTTGGAGGTTTCCAACAAAGTTGCTTGGAGAAAAATCTGTGTGTGTGTGAAGCTCTGTTTCAATGCAGCAAACAAACCCCAGCCCTGGTTTCTAGCTAAATAAGGAAACACAAAATCACTGGCCACTTGCTTTTTTGTGCGGCATCCCAGCAACGTGGGAGGTAGCAGAATAAACTATGGAGCTAGCAGAATAAACCTTCAAGTGGCACTTGCTGAGGACCCACATGTGCAGTCCCAGTATCTGGATGCAGACGTGGGCAGTATTTCAAACCACATTCTTCAGAGTTTGTGCCAAAAGAGTTTGTGTCAGCCTCCTGTACTGACACCAATGTTCTTGAAGTACACAGAAGACTGGGGTCGTGTTACCCTGTAGGAACCAAAAACCTGACTGTCAGCGTGAGAGGAGAGTTGTGAAGCTGCCCTGCCAGCAATGAATGCTCTGCCTTCTGACTCACAGGGAGTTGTAGCTGGGAATGGATTTTCCTAACAGATGTTCCAAAGGCAGTGCAGTAGTTCAGTCACCTCTGGGGCTCTGTCTCTCTGTGCCATGCCAATTCCATGCCTCCAGAGGGCAAAGTCAGATCGTGCTTCGCTTTGCACTTGTAGAGGATGGGGAATGAAAGAGGTGTGTGCTGAGGAGGGATGGTGTGCTAAACAGCTGCTTTTGCCCTCCCTGCTGGTGATGAAAATCCTTTTCCAAGTAAGCACTTTCCTTGGCAGGGCCCAAAGCAGAGTGAAATGGATACCCAAACAGCATGTGCTGGCTCTTGTCGCTTCTCATTTCCTCATCACGCAGATTAAGCTGTGGTGCCAGTGTTTGTGGGTGAAGTGGGAGTCGTATAACATGGTGACCTGGAGACTATCCTCAGTTTGACATTATCATAAGCCTATTTAAAAACATTTTCAGCTTTCCACTCCGGGCGCAGGAGTATGTCCCATTTTAAGCACCGGTGTCTCTTTTGAGTACTAGTTCCCATGGTGAGGGAACTATAGTCAACACAAAACTCAGAGTCACCCAGGTGGATCTTAGACTGGAGATCTCCTCCACCTGTAAGTCAAGTGGTGCCTGTTGCTGGAGCAGAACAGTTGGTGCTTTTCATGTTTGTGAAACATTATATTTTCTCTTTTGATTCAGCAGTGTTGGATGAGGGACAAAGATAAGTAACATGGAAAATGCCATGCATCAATTAAACCTTTGGAATTTCATGCAATAGAAAATGTATGATATCTACATAGTATTACTCATACAAAAGTTATAGCTTGAACTTTCTTCTGGTCTCTGCAACAAGTTAAATAACCATTTTTTCTGTCTAAATTTCCTACTTCAGATCCTGCCAACATTATGATCTGCAGCCTTCAGCTGGGTAAAGTGCTCATTGATTTTGAGACTACTGCACTGCAGAGTGTACCCTGCACAAGGGCACTGGGCTTCTCAGGAATGGAGTTAATACTGGTAGGTGCCAGGAAATTACTCCAACTAAAATCCCATCTGCTTGGATGTCCAAGAGCAATTTTTACCCATGGAAAAAAGGCCAGTCCTTTAGGCTTGATTCCTCACTCAGTTGCTTCCAGGTTACAAACCACACCACTGACATCCCACAAGAGTAAACTACTGGGAAGCCCTGGCCTTCATTAGCCCTGTGACTTGAGCAGCTTGTCCCACTTTAACCAAATGATAGGAAGCAGACATTAAATGTGTGGACAGCCCCTTTGTGTGCAGCACATTCATAGCTTTGGTTCTACCATCGGAACTCCTCTCGTCTTTGAGAAAAAGAAAAGTTTTGCCTCTGTGTCCCAGGAACAGCAGGGCTGTACTTAATTGTTCCAAGTCAAGGACCCAGCAGAGTCAAGGTCTGTGGTCATATTGGCTGAATGCAAATCAAGTAAGACCATAGAGCCATGGCTCTGCCTGCACCCCAAGCTCAACTGCCTCTGGGATGGAATGTCAAGTCTGGGTTTTTATTGGCTCTATGTTGGTGCAAGGACTTTACTGTTAGAAGTGTGGAGAGCATCACAGCCAGACATTTCATGACACTTTGTGACAAAGTGCCCTACTTGCATCTCATGTTAAGATCTGAGAGGGGACATTAAGGCTGAGCCTTTTGCAATTAGACAGGTGATGGCATGAGATCCTTCATTCACTTTCAGAGCACATTCCACAAAGAAAAGACCAAAGTCACTGAGCTTAAAATGTTTTATACTTGACTGGAGTTAGTGGGAGATAAGAGCAGGGAGCTGATTGCATGGATTTTGGAAACACTTTATAGCCAGATTGTGGCATAGGGACTAAGGTGAAACTTCTGATGGGGAACTGATGTGCAGCTGCACATGGAGTAAGGCCCTATGGCAGAAGAGAGGCTGGAAAGCAACATGCTAATGGGATGTGCCCATTGCATGTTGCTTTATCAGCTGTTCACTTCCCTTTTCTGGTGGGAATAAGGTTTCAGTCTGCATCAGTGTCCTGGTTGTTTATCATTAGTCCTGTTTTTCCAAATGAACACAGCTTCTCATCCCCTGGTTGAGTTTTCTGTGGGAACTTGGGACTGCAGGGGAGAAAGAAGTGCTTGCTGAGAGAATCATGTGGATGTAACCAGGTTCATGAGAGAGGCTGGAGTTAGCAGCTGTGGCCATTCTTCTGGAGAAAAAAACATCATCGTGGTTTTAAAATAGGTCGTGTCTCAGGCCCAAATTTGAGGCAAGAGACATGGGGAGTCTTAGCCTTCATCCAGCATGGTTCCACCTGGGCAGGCCACCGAGCATGCTTTCCTGACAGCCCAGCAGGCTGCCCAGCTCGTGGAGGGCAGACAGGACCCACAGAGAGTGAGCTGTGTCAGGTGCAGTGGGACCCTGCCCCACTGGGGGAATTAGGTGTAAGTGTAGTGGCAAAAGTATTGGCACAGGTGATGTGTGTGGTTCGTGCTGTGGGGTGAAGATAGCGCTGAACTAGACAGAGTGGCTGACACAAGAAGAGGCAGAGCCTCAACCTAAAGGTACCACCAGAAATGGGAGCACTGGACTGCTAGAAAGCTTACAAAGCCCAGCAAAAGAAACACGCCAGTAGTGTGCTGGGGTAGGATAATCCTGTGCGTCCATCCCATCTGGGAAGTGACTGGCAAAGTGGGGCCGTGCTGCAGAGTTGCTGGTGAACGCTGTGGATGAGGCTGAACATGGTCCAGGAGTGACTCTTGCTGCAAATGAGGCACACTCTGTACTGGGATTCATGAGGCACAGCTTGTCAGGCAAACCTAGGTCAGTGCCAGCACTGCATAAACAGTTAAACACGCAAACTTGCTGTGCACACTGGCACACATTTAGCTGAAGACATGGAGCCACAAAACAAAGCAACAGAAAACACCACGTGTGATGTAGGCAGCAACGAGCAGGCACCTTCTTGGTGGAAGCTGAGTGGATCCAGCCTGAGCTGGATGGACCATGACACATTAGTCCTCCTGCCGAAGCAGATTTTAGAGCAGATTTCCAAGAGAATAGTCTGCCCATTCTTGCCTTTGCACCACGAAGAAATCACTGAGAGTAGTGCAGATCTGTCAGATGCTTTAAAAAGGAGGAGCTGGCTTTTTCTGGAAACATGCAAAGCAGAGTCAGGTCTGTTCTGTAAGCTCAAAATCACTAAACGTGGGGGGGAGGGGTTTGGTTTGGTTTGGGTCTTTTGGGTTTTTTTTGGTTTGGTTTGGTGGTTTTTGTGTTTTGAGGTAGGGGTTGTTTGCTTTTCTGTTCGTTTTTGATGTGCAGGTGTTACAAAGTCTGCGTGGTTCTTGCTCCCCTGAAGCCTGTGCATTTCAGCACCTCATGAAAATCTTCCGGATGGGTATCTTTGAATAGCCATCAGACACTGGTGGCATGGAAATAAGTTCTTTCTATTTTGCCTGTCAAATGCCCTATTTGGGCAGTCATTCAACAGTTTTGAGAGGTTTAATCTCTGGCAGGATGAACATTTCCTACTCAGTGTCACTCAGGTGCCCTGCTAGGACCTATCTGCTCTGGTGGCTCATAACTGGAATCACTGGCATCTGACAAAAACTCCTACAAGGCACCCATGGGGTCAGGAAGACCCTGAGGCTTGTGGACAAGAAGTGTCACCTGAAGAAATTGTTTTGAAGACAAATTAGTGTTTGTCAGAGCAGTAATTCAACCCTCTCTGCAGCTAGTAGTGAAACCTCATGCTTGAGAGAAAATTATAGGATACAGTAGTTTAGAGAGAATTGTTTATTGCTTACTTTGGAAGCTGGGAATTTTATTTAAGTCTAATTATTTAATTAATTGCCACACTGTGAACAAAATATATTTGCAAATTTCCTACTTTACGTCAATAACTTATGTGGAAAGAAATGTTATTTGTTTTCTTTTTCCTTTTTTTTGCAGACAGAACCACATTGCTGTGGACATTGGCTTTTTCTAACCTGCACTTCAGCATGGGATGGAGAAGGGACAGGTCATTTTGGCCAAACTCTAGTGTTAAGAGATTAATTTCCCAACACAGGCAAGAGAAATTTCTTGGTGTTCTTTGTTGGTGATGTTCTTCATGTTGTTTCACCCAAATACAGATATTTTAAAAGTCTCTAACAAATTGCAGTGGAGTTGTCCTATAATTTACAAACCAGTATCCTATCCTGTTCTGTAGTGTAGGCCTTGCAGAGGACTTTCTCTGTGGTCACAGACAGTAGATCAGGCAAGGAGAGAGGTCAAGGAAAGAAAAGGTGTTGGGAGCAAGCAGGTGGGAGCAGTGGAGAGAGACTGGGAACACATGAAGCAGGGGAAAGAGAAGAAAGAGAAGGAGAAGTACTGTGGAAAAGCAGGGAACGTGGAGAACAAGGATTGAGGCTCTGAGCTGGAAGAATGTGAAGAACCTTTGCTGGAAGACTAGTTGGGAAGTTTGTTTTGTGGAGACAGTCTTGTATGGATGGAAAAAAAAAAAGCTGTGCCCACCAAAGTTTCTTCTCCTCTAGGTCTTGGCCTGGAATCAAAAGATTTTCACTCCCAGCATCACTTTGGTACAAGCACATAAACATGAAACGTAGTGTCACAACTTTCTAGGAGTGGCCTACACAGACCACAAAAAACTTCTAATGCTGTGAGCTGCTCAGTCAGATTCTATTCATTCTTATTAATTTATTTTTTTTTTAAACCAAGGAAAATCATGGATTAAACTGTATTACCAAGCATTATTAAACAAACCCTTATTTTCTGGAAACTGCAGCTTTTAGCACACTTTGCATGACAAAAATGAAGTGTTTCAGTAGGTTAAGTGTGGGCACCCAGCACTTCTGTGTGCCAGCTTTCTGATGCCTTGAGATTTTCGGGGAAGTCCTGTGAGAAAAAAATCTCATGTTCCAATTTATTAAAAAAAAACCGGCTAAAAGAAAAACACTCGCAGGACAAGGAAACTCGCAGCAAGAAATCCTTTATTGGTAGCGCTGGGTGCAGTCCCAAGGCATTCGCAAGGAAAAGCACACGGGATTCGAAAAACGCGCGCCCTTTGTACCCTTGGCGCCACCTAAGATGTTGAATATTCAACAGATAACAGGTATTTTTACCTTAAAAGGTAGTTTTTCGAACTCGGGAGGGGGGTGTCGCCCTCCCACCTGATTGATTGATGACGTGCCCCCCCCTACAGCACGGGGGGGGAGGGTCCCTTTGCATACAAAGACCCGCCACGTGGCCAGGGTAAATTTTTAATTTTTATATATTGTACCCTACCTCGGCCGCAAAATTCCCTCGGTGTCAAGCCCTGATGGGGCTTTTTTCACTTTACAATCTTCACGAGTCGCCTAAAATTCCTGAAATTCAATGAAGGATAAGAAAAAATCCCAACACAACACTCCCCTGCTTTCCACTTAAATCAATTTACTTATAATAAAACCGGATTATTTTATTTCTCGTGATTCCCCCTTTTTCTCTTTATTCATGGTTTTATTATAAGTCCTTTCTTGCTGACTGTCCTTAGGCTTTTCGGGTTCACTCCCACTCGGTTAGTATATCTTGTGCCTTGTTAATTTCTTTCTTTTGCTTGGCAAGTTCCCACTCAAGTAACATTTTCTGCGCCTTCTCTATGTCTTTCGTTTGTTTGGGGGCCAGCCACAAGATCATGATTTCCTGAATCTCTGGGCCTCTAGTTGTAGTGGTCTTTGAATCCATTGGTATGGCAGTTAATTGCATCCCTTGGACAACACTAGAAATTAATCTCATTAAACATGGGATTAGACAGGGTAGGAACAATAATCCAGATAAGAAGAATCCCACTTTCTTCCACCATGCCCCCCAAAGAAGTTAGCTCGTCACTCTCCACCTACTGTGGAGTTCCGCTTTTGGACTGGGACATGGGCTATTTTTCGGATGTTGGAGGCTATTTCCATTACAGCTTCATAATTATCGTCAATTTGTAGGCAGCAGTCTGAGGTGTTAAATTTTCCACAGCCCTCAGCAACGAGGTAGGTCAGAGGCAGAGCTGCGAAACCAAGACAGCGGGGCAGGGTCTGCGTCAGAGATTGCAAGGGGGGACACAAGCACAGCGGACTTGAAAGTAGCTCCCTGTTAAAGCTGGGGAACCTCACTGAGCTCTTTCCCGGCTTTGTGCACAGCCAGGTGGATGCCCAGGGTGGGGGGGGGGGTCGAGCCCTGATCGAGGCAAGGAAAGTTGTACTTAAATGCGGATGTGCGCGCACTGGGGTGTGTGTGGGGGGGGGTGTGCCTGTGCAAGGCACAAAGCCCCGCAGAATGTGAAATCGCACCAGGCTGCAGGGTGAGTTGTGAGCACCACTGCCAGGGGTGCATTCAGCTGTCGGGTAGGGACTGATGGGGGGTTGGTAGGAAGGACCCAGCACTACCCTGCTGTAATTCCATGCCTCAGGGATGTAAATAGTCTTTCTTTGAAAAACAAAGTGTGAAGTGGGGATAGTTTGAGCTTATTGGCACTGGCAGACAAAATCTGAATACTTTTACAATGAGCTCCTGTTTTTTTTCCCTAGGCCTCTTTGTTCTCATTGCCACTCTGACCCTTTAGCAATCACCATGGTAATTACCAAGTAATGCCCTATTTACAAGTACCTCCCGAAATCTGCTGGAATTTTGCTTGAGCCTGTAGCAAAATGTCTATCCCAGAATCCCAGATCCTCTTTCTTGAGAAAATGAGTTATTTCTCCAGTTCCAAGCTTTTCTTTAACAAGACTGCAAAGGCTGTGACTAACTGGAGTCCTGCTGAAGTTAACAGACCTGTGGGGATTTACATCAGATAAGTATCTGCCCAGCGTTTGCCTGAGGCAATACATTTTACCAAAAGTGTGTAGGTCATGGTAATCCGTAGAGAAATAATTGTTTTTAAGTTTCCGTGCTGCTATTAAAAACAGGCGCTGTACTGCATGTATTTCCAGAGACAGAAAAAAGTTTCAGAAATCTCTTTTTTAATTTGGACAGTCTGGTCTTAATTGTTCTGTAACCAGTTCATATTTCATACGTGAAGTCTGTGCTATGATACAGGTTTCCCGAAGGGATGAGGGGATCTCTCTGCATCGAGCTTTTTAAAACGTGACTGACCTAACCTAGGACATAACCGTGCTTAAAGTTTTAACTGGACCAGAAATCTTGTCATTTCTGCAGTTCTCTCTGTTACTGTGGAAGAAACGCGATTCCCGTGAATTTCTGTCAATCAGCTCAAGTCCTGTCAATGATATAGGAGAGTGACCCAAGAACACAAGCAAAACAACATCTCAAAATGCCAGGTGCTCAGACTTTCTTTCTCCCAGCTAGCTCTGCTAGTTTTGCTTATGCAGTTTGGGTATTCGTATGCAAATCACATATTTGCGACCATGCTGGACCATTATTAGAAAACAGATCTTCCAGAAGTTTTTTAGACAAGCACTTTCAGGATCGTGATTTGGACCGGGAAAAGGAAGGAGAGTGGCATCCTTTTGAGACCTTTGAGATCTCCACCTCTTTACTCCACTGTGAGACAATGCAATATTTGCTATGGGAGGGTGTCCTGGTTTTGGCTGGAATGGAATTGATTTTCTCCATAGTGGGTAGTATGAGGCTGTGTTTTGGATTTGTGCTGAAGTAAGTGTTGGTAACACAGGGATGTTTTTATTACTGCTGAGCAGTGCTTACACAGAGCCTTTGCTGCTTCTCACACACACCCCCCCCCTCCCCACCAGGGTGAGAGGTCTGGGGGCGCACGAGGAGCTGGGAGGGGACACGTCCAGTACATCTGATCCCAGCTGACCTGAGGGATATCCCACAGCATATGGTGTCATGCTCAGCACATGAAGCTGAGGGAAGAAGGAGGAGGTGGGGGGATGTGCAGAGTGATGGTGTCTGTCTGCCCAAGTCACCAGCGTGATGAGGCCCTGCTCTCCTGGAGGTGGCTGCACACCTGCCTGCCCACGGGAAGCAGTGAATGAATTCCTTGTTTGGCTTTGCTTATGTTCTGCGGCTTTTGCTTTTTGTATTTAACCGTCTGTATCTCAGTTTTCTCTCTTTTGGTCTTCCATTAGTTTTCTCTCTTTTGCTCCCGCAACCCACCAGGGGGAGTGAGTGAGTGGCTGTGGGGTACTTAACCTTCTGACTGGGGTTAAACTACAACAGAGTGTGTCTTTATTACTTTAAAAAATAGAGAACAAGGGAAGGATGGAAAACTAAATGCGAAAATAATTTTTAAAAATACTATTTTTTTCCCGTAAGAAGTGTTGATTTAGATGTGAACAAAAGAAAAATGTCTGAGGGCAGGGACAGGATGAGATCTGCTTCCAGCAAGTAATCAAGAAGACTGGCCTGAGCAACGTGCTTAAACACAGGAGGTACAGGACCGACGTCTGCAGTCAGCAGAGAGAAGAGGCCTCGGGAAGGTACCTCCACCATGACGGCAGGAGGAGCTCAGAACGGCCCAAACCAGCCTCCCCAGTGCTCAGACAGCAAAATCCAGGGCAGTGCCCCCCATGGGCAGTACATGGTGTCCCTGCTCCTTCCTGGGCGTCCTCACAGGTGATCCTTGAGACACCCCTTCTGGGTTGAGGAGCAAGCCAACATCCCTGTGTGGACCACAGGAGCGAGGGGGAATGACTCAAAGGAGGGGGGCACTGGCACATCAACTCTGCTGGAGCTGCCAGTCCAGCGCTGTCAGTGACGCTGTGCCATCCTGGGGGCTCTGTTACCGTGGTGGGGTGGTTCTTGCTGGTGCAGTGTAAATAGCTGGGCACTGGAGGTAATTTCTTTCAGTCACTTCTTACACATCCTAAATGGGGAGTGTCAATTTTTTCTCCTCTGAACTAGTTCGGGCAACACTGACAGAGGAGTTGAAAAATAAGAGCTAATCCTGCAGGAATGACTCATTCTGGCATGGGATTTGCAGAGCGAGATGAGCAGTTCAGGTAAAACAAAGGGAAATGGAGGCTGTAGTAAAACTCTGTGGTTTGGAGCACGACAGCTTAAATGCTACTAAGTCAAACTTGGAAACCCCCTCCCAACAAATTGCTGTACTCAAAATCTTGGCAATGTCTAGAGCAAGTCAATATTCAAGCATAGGTGTTCCACAAAAACAGAGACTCTTTCCCATGGGAGTTGTAAGTTGGATTGCTA